TGTTTAATCAACCTTCAATCTTAAACTTTGGATGGTGGCCAAGTACCTCCCATTCTCAGGTATGCTGTTTTGAAGGTATGCAGGCTTGTATCCCCCCACAAAAGGTTGTATGGCAGTATGTACCTTTGCAAGTGGAATATATAACCTCCCTACCTCCAAACCCATCATAGCCCCAGGGTTCATAGCCAGACTTAACCTTCTGGGTCGGATCTGTGCCCAGCGGGCGATTCGGGGCCCATTCCCTAAAAGGACACCCTTCAACAGGAAAAGCAACAACTCAGTTTAACCAACAACCCAGTCTAGCCGGGTCTTTGGAAGGATTGGGAAACTTTTAAACATCATGAAGCCACGATTGTTTAAATAACCTCTTTCTGGTTTCGCTCTATATGTGGCCGAGCTGCGTTTGCTTAAACCAATGTTGCCCAACCCTGGTACGCCTGCAAGCCCCGGTCTCTCTAGACAAAACCAATAGCATCTGCGGTTCCCATGAGTCCGCAATCAAATTGAGCTGAGCCGCGCTCAAAATCAGATCGTAGTTTTTGGTCCGAGCCATAGGGTTCGGCAACGTGGGACCAAATCCTTAGCACCGGCTCCCAACAACTGCTTTGTGGCCAGTTGGGAAAACGCAGTTGGGGGGTGGTGGTACCACCTTTTAATTGGTTTCGAATATGACTGAGCTGTGCTTCTCGCTTTTGCATTGGTTTCACTCAAACATGGTGTGGAGAACTTCTCCAAATGTTGTGTTCAAGCCAACCCCACGGAGGGTACCAAAACAAGGCTCACCCAAATGGGGAGGGGTCCTACATCAGCCCCGATTGTTTGTAGCTTGTAGAGGCGGCAACCAATGATTTTCAGGGCGTCCGCTTCCTGATTTGAAAAACCCTCTGCACTTAGGACCTCTGCAATCGACGAGGCGTCGCGTCTGGCGCGAAGCTTCTTCTGCAAGGCTCTCGCATCGCGGGTGCATGTTTTTGAGCCCCTTTCGTAGGGCTCAGCCGAGTTGACTCCCCACTGGTTTTTTCAGTTCTCGTCAACTGGGTCACTGGAAAATGGATCGCTGTGTTAGCGGGTTGGTTCACGAGCCCAAATTGTTGCCAAAGAAAACCAATGGTTTTGGGGGTGCTAGTTTGACACAAACTAATATGGCTAGGATGTTTGAGAGTTGGAACCACCTCGAAAGTGGTTGGTGCACATGAATCCCAGAGTGTTCATGTCCACCTAATTGAAAGTCACGCCCATATAAGTCCTGTTAACGAGAAGTTGTCGGACAAACATGGCCTGCCATCCAGCGAGAGGCCTGGATGGACACCGCAGAAGCCCACTCAACTCAGATGAAGACATCGACGGGGCCTGAGTTTGCAAGATGCTGAACGTGTTTCAGAATGGCAGCTCCTTAGTAATAGAGAACAGCTTAGCACCTGTGCAGGTTTTCTGGCAATGCTTCCAACCCAAACCTTCAAACCTTACAGGGGTCGCCGACAAGCCATCCTTTGTTTCTGTTGCGTTTCCGGCTTTTTTGACTTTATTTGCGGGTTGATGATTTTTTAGTGACATCTGCCGACAAGCCATGCTTGGTCCTCAGTCGAATCACGACATGTGTGCCAGAGTGGACCCAGACAGTCAGAGCAACACCGGACAGCTGTGAAAGACAAAACTCCTGGCCGGACCCAGGCAGCTGTGCCAGACCAAACTTTGTGCCCGACCCAGACAGTTGGTATGAGAGACCGCGGTGAAGCCCTGAGCCATCAGGCGAGAGTATCCGGGCTGACCAGATTCTAACGCATCACCCGCATTGTCACAAAACTAATCTGTGAGGCTGCCAGTGGAGAAACGTACCACGGACTAAGTGGCTGCCAGCTACCGGGCTTCCTGACATACCACGTTCTGACGCTCCCAAGCACGACCTCGTCTGAGAGATGGTCGGTCGCAGGAGGTGGCAGCTTGAACTTTTTCGCCCCAAGAGGCAGTGCTCACGCTTTTGTCAGATTTTGTATACTTCAAGCAGCGTCAAGACCATCAAACATGGACATCGACGGGCAGACTGAGCGCTCAAGCGCCAATCAGCACATTAGTCGCCCTGCCTGGTCTTCTGCCATCTCCGACCACGTGGCACAGTGGGGCTGACAAGCGCGTTCTCTGACCATGAGAGCTGTGGCCCTGAGCTACGAGATTCCGGCCAGGCCGAGCAGTTGTGACAGACCCTGAGCTTGTTGCGGCTTAGACGTGGCCCGGCCCAACAATAACCAAGGCTACACGCTTGTTCACGCATGCAGCTGGAATGCACGTACACGCGCAGACGCGATGTGTATGTACATGTATAATTTTACTTGAACGCATGCTTGCATGCATCACACACAACTACGTGCACGCACACACACACACACACACACACACACACACACACACACACACACACACACACACACACACACACACACACACACACACACACACACACACACACACACACACACACACACACACACACACACACACACACACACACACACACACACACACACACACACACACACACACACACACACACACACACACACACACACACACACACACACACACACACACACACACACACACACACACACACACACACACACACACACACACACACACACACACACACACACACACACACACACACACACACACACACACACACACACACACACACACACACACACACACACACACACACACACACACACACACACACACACACACACAACACACAACACACACACACACACACACACACAACACACAACACACACACACACAACACACAACACACAACACACAACACACAACACACGCACAACACACAACACACAACACACAACACACAACACACAACACACAACACACAACACACAACACACAACACACAACACACAACACACAACACACAACACACAACACACAACACACAACACACAACACACAACACACAACACACAACACAACGCACACACACAACACACAACACACAACACACAACACACAACACACAACACACAACACACAACACACAACACACAACACACAACACACAACACAACGCACAACGCACAACGCACAACGCACAACGCACAACACAACAACACAACGCACAACACACAACACACAACACACAACACACAACACACAACACACAACACACAACACACAACACACAACACACAACACACAACACACAACACACAGCACACAGCACACAACACACAACACACACAACACACAACACACACAACACACAACACATACCACACAACACACACCACACAACACATACCACACAACACATACCACACAACACATACCACACAACACATACCACACAACACACAACACACAACACACAACACACAACACACAACACACAACACACAACACACAACACACAACACACAACACACAACACACAACACACAACACACAACACACACACACACACCACACACACACACAAACGCATTCAATGGCGCACGTACGTATACACATCCACACGCTCAACATTATGTGCATAACATATATGCTGGTTTTATTCGCGTACACAGGCATGCGCATGTATTAAATGTATGGCACACACACACAGGCACTCGTACAGATCCAGCTGCGCATGCCATACACGCTTACCAGCAGCGCGATGTACATTCATTCGAGTTGAACAAGTGTCCTGTGCCACGCCGATGGTGTCAGCGTGTTTCACTGGTTTATTGCAGTGCAGCCCGCAAACCCAACATGGGGGCATCGCCCGGAACCGCCTTGAGCGAACGAGCTTGTATCCGGCGCAATGACATCAAATTGTTGTTGAACTGAGTAGCGCGTCTTGTGCGGCATAGTGCTCAGGAAGTCTTCCTGAACAACCTGCAAGTTAGCCGGCTTCCAGTGATTGAGGCAACCGGGGGGGTGGGGGATGTGTAGAGTTCCCACTCTCAGTTTCTTGCAGGTTAAATGGTATGATGCCGACCTTTCTACTTACGGACAAGGCTGATCGCCGTTCTCCTTGGCTTGTGAAAGCAAAAGCTCTCAATTGCCAGCACACACCAAGCAAGGATTTGTTCCAATCTAAAACATCATGAAGTCCTGCGCGTTCGGACAATTCGGGGACTTGCCAGAAGTAGGTGTGGCAAGAAGCCCTTTCAATTTTGTTGCCTGTGTTCTTTGGTGCCAGGTTTTGATCATGACTGATCTACCATTGTTCTGCTTGCAGAAGAATCCCCATTGCTCGCGAGAGGGGGGAGTTCCCTTATCAATCCGGGTCGCGCAAATCAATCCCCTATCCTTACACCATTTGGTGACCCAATTGGATTTGGGGGAACCCCCCAAGCTTGGGGTTGTCCTGCTGGTACTGTATCCCTCTAACCCAACCTGAAGAAAGGTACAGTACCCTCAAACAACACACCCAAATGAATTTGTTGCGATTTACTCAAACTTGTTCCGACGCCAAGTGGCTCCGTAGGTTTGGCCCCATATGTTTGTTTGGTGGCAAGGGAAGCCAAATGGAAACAGCCCTTTTTGGTACCCTAAAAAGGGTGGTTGCGAAGGGAAACCACGTGGATATCACCTACATTGTGAGGCTTCATGTTTTTTTCTTTGTTGCCCGGCGTACTCCGGGCGGATTGACATGGCCAATGGAACCCCCCAAAGAGAATCCACTTGGGGGATGCAATCTGACAAGAGTACGAGGGGTGAGCTCCAGCCTTTTCACCTATCGTTTTTTGCGGTGTTTGCTTGTCTGGAAATATGTTTGATCCATGGGAATTTGGGATGGTCGAAGTCACTAGGAAAAACACCGACCCCAAGCAGCTCGTCCACCTATTGACCCGTGGATTTGGGATGGTTGGAAGATACCAGCCAAGCAGCTAGTCCACCCATAGGAGTTTTGACCATGGCCCAGTTGAGCTTACCGCAAGAGATGGCCTGTCCAAGTTGCGGCTCAAGTTGAGAAAGCCAGTCGCAACTCCCCACTCGTGGCCATGAGTGGCTATCCGCCACCGAACACGGCTCCCACCGTCTTCAAGGCGGGCTTCAGCTCTCTGGTTTCTGCTCTTACCTCTTAAAAACACAACTTTTCAACTTTTTGGGTAACATGGGCTATATGTCTGTAAAAGATTAACTTTCCCAGGGCTTGGAGTTTTAAGGGGTAAGTGCTTGTGGGTGGTATTGCACACCTTTTGGGTGCCATGTTGCCATGGCTTTCCTTCTTGTTTGCCATTTCTTTTTATGTTGGCACGGCTTTCCTCTTGGTGACTCTCCAACTTTTTGGTTGCCTCGAGGTACGATGCCAAAGCACGCGCCCTGGGGAAGCGGTCTTCGTGATCGGGTCCCACGAAGCCTCGCTCAAACTTAAGCTCGGGGCGTGGCGTGATTTGTTTTTTTGCGGGTGCGGGGGGGGGGGGTCGCAGATTTTGTCGGCTTGCTTTTTGTTCCCGAAAGCATCTCGAAGGGTTCTTCCGTGCGGAGCCCTTGGACAAGTTACACAGAGCCAAGTTGCACAGAGCCAAGTTGCACAGAGCCAAGTTACATAGAGCCAAGTTACATAGAGCCAAGTTACATAGAGCCAAGTTACATAGACTTAAGTTACATAGAGCCAAGTTACATAGAGCCAAGTTACATAGAGCCAAGTTACATAGAGCCAAGTTACATAGAGCCAAGTTACATAGAGCCAAGTTACATAGAGCCAAGAGCCAAGTTACATAGAGCCAAGTTACATAGAGCCAAGTTACATAGAGCCAAGTTACATAGAGCCAAGTTACATAGAGCCAAGTTACATAGAGCCAAGTTACATAGAGCCAAGTTACATAGAGCCAAGTTACATAGAGCCAAGTTACATAGAGCCAAGTTACATAGAGCCAAGTTACATAGAGCCAAGTTACATAGAGCCAAGTTACATAGAGCCAAGTTACATAGAGCCAAGTTACATAGAGCCAAGTTACATAGAGCCAAGTTACATAGAGCCAAGTTACATAGAGCCAAGTTACATAGAGCCAAGTTACATAGAAGTTACATAGAGCCAAGTTACATAGAGCCAAGTTACATAGAGCCAAGTTACATAGAGCCAAGTTACATAGAGCCAAGTTACATAGAGCCAAGTTACATAGAGCAAGTGGCACAGAGCCAAGTGACACAGAGCCAGGTGGCACAGAGCCAAGGATAGGTAGAGCTTGCGTAGAGCTTCGGCGTTAGCAGCTATGTAAGTTAGTTTAGGTTTCTAAGGCGCCGGGGCGGGAGTTTGATCGTCGCTCGGGATTGCGACCCTCTGCGGAGATTCGCGTGGTCGAGGTCAAAAAACTGAGGACTTTTTACGATTTCTGCGGTGCGCGCGCGACCCTCTGCGGAGATTCGCGTGGTCGAGGTTAAAAAACGGAGGACTTTTTACGACTTTTAGCATGCGCGCGCGACCCTCTGCGGAGATTCGCGTGGTCGAGGTTTAAAAACTGGGGACTTTTTACGATTTTTAGCATGCGCGCGCGACCCTCTGCGGAGATTCGCGTGGTCGAGGTTCAAAAACTGAGGACTTTTTACGATTTCTGCGGTTCGCGCGCGACCCTCTGCGGAGATCGTGCGCGTCGAAGCGCTCTCGCTGTGGCGCCGTGCAAATTTGTCTTAGTCTCGGCGAACCCTCTGCGGAGATTGGAGCCTAGAGTCTGCAGTCTGGAGTCTGCAGTCTGGAGTCTGGAGTTTGCAGTCTGAAGTCTGCAGTCTGGAGTCTGCAGTCTGGAGTCTGGAGTTCGCAGTCCGGAGTCTGCAGTCTGGAGTCTGCAGTCTGGAGTCTGCAGCCTGGAGTCTGCAGCCTGGAGTCTGCAGTCTGTCTGCAGTCTGGGGTCTGGAGTTTGCAGTCTGGAGTCTGCAGTTTGGAGTCTGCAGTCTGGAGTCTGCAGTCTGGAGTGTGGAGTTTGCAGTCAGCAGTCTGGATTCTGGAGCCTTGATTGAGTCTTGCAGCCTTTCATCCGCGCACTCACAATCCAAACATGCAAAAAATCGCAAAGTGCCATCAGACCACCGCTTCAAGTGCCATCTCGAATTAAAAATCAACGCCGAAAAATTCCTTCGCGGACCAGCCGCCAGCGGACAACCGCTTCAAGTGCCATCTCGAAATGAAAATGAACGTGGCAAAAATAGCTTGGCGGACCGGCCGCCAGCGGAACCACCGCTACAATGATATATCATCAAACGAGAAAAGCAAAACGGGCGGACCGGCCGCCGGCGGAGAAACCGCCCCATGCGACTATATTAAGGCGGACCGGCCGCCAGCGGAGACACCGCTATAGAAACGATTATCGCACAACAAAATTCAACCGAGTCAATCAGTGCACAAAATGCTCCGGCTCCATCGAGCCAAGCGTGCGAAGCAGCGCGAACAAACAGCGTAAACTGCATGCGAGCGCGCGCCTGCCCTGCTGCGTTGAGTCACACGAAAATGTGTGCTTTCCAGCGCGTAATGCTTCATCACTGCCATGCTTCAAAACGCATGTGTTTGCCAACTCAATGAACTTAGAATGAACTTAGCGGACTTAGAAAAACCTCTTTTCTAAGTTCAAGATAAGTTACTTATAAGTCCAAGCTAAGTGCTAAGTCACTTATAACTCCAGCGTAAGTACGGCCCTATCCCAGTGGTAGCTTTCCGGCATGTTCCGGAGATCATCATGCCCAAGACCGTTTGTTTGGCCCACGAGCCAAATACTCCTTGAAGTGACGGAGAGCAGCTGTCCAATTGTGCTGCTGCAAAGGTGGGAGTTGCAGTTGTCCCGGTGGGATGTAGGCTTTCATGAAGGCCGTGATTCGGTTCCAGGCGTCAGGTGGGATCTCCTGCAAGGTGTTCCATCGTTCCCGCCATGTTCCTGCGTCAGGTGCTGAGCGCAGTGAGCGGTTTGTCCAGGAACCAGCAAGAGGTTGGTGTCAACCTCATAGGTAGCTGGAGTCAAGGGGGTGATGGTGGCAGGAACTCCGTCCACATCCCAGGATGTGATAGGAGCAGTGATGAACTCGCGGTCAACCAGGATTTGTGTGCCACATTCTGAATTCTGAGACCGCGAGGATGGTGGACTCCTCGCATGTTTGTAGCCAGTCGATGGCGGTTGTACGCAGCGAAAGGCAGTGTGTTGGCATTGCTGGACCTTGGCCTTGATGCATTTGGATCGTTGCCGCATGTTCCAGCCCTCGAAGGAGCGAAAGTTGCTCTGAAAGTCGATGTAGATGGTAAGTGTGGTGGGCTGCCTTGCAAGTCGGCTACCACTCCAAGAAGCCGATGGCCTGCCAAGTGTCAAGTTGGTAGAGCTGATGTTGGATTTCGCGCCTGCCGGCTCGAAGAGCATGAAGGAGGGATTGTAAGCGGCGAAGCTGTGTGAACCAGAGTGCTCGGCACAAGAAACTAGAGCTGAGCTGGACCTCTCCGACTCGGCTAGGTTTGGCTGTAGGAGCCTCCCGCTGCAGTTGGACCGGGCGAAGATGTTGACCTCGTCCTCTGACAGCCCCAGGTAGCCCCTGCCGCTGATGAGAATCAAGATGATCATCAGAACTGTTTTCCAGAGCCGCACAAAACAGAGTTGGCCATAGCTGTGAGTAAGGTCAGTCGGCAGAGGGTGGTGGTGGTGCATGTTGGTGGTATGAGTTGAGGTCGACTTCCTGCCAAGGAATGCGTGCCGGAAGAGGCCACGTCCAGATGTGGTGCTGGTCATGAGGAATGTTGAATTCCCCCCAAAGTGCGCCGGTCAGCAAACGCTTGGGTGAAGTGGCATGTCACACATGTAGCCGCCAACTCCGGGGAGATGAAGATCTGATCTGGCGTGGAGACGCCACGAAATGTCAGGCGCATGACCAGTGAGGAGCTCGTGGAGCTCCTGCAGCTCGATCCAGCCGGCTTGGCGCCATAGTAGGAACTCGGAGAGATCCCTGTGGTTGAAGTCTCCGGCTATGTACCGGAATCCGCTCCGCCTAAAGACAATTTCGGTAGTCAAGCGACTCAACATTGTATTGGTGGCTGAGCGTGCCGCAGGCCAAGTTGGACTGGTGGGCCACGCATAGAGGCATGTGCCCGTGATAGAGGTGTTCCCGACAGAGATGAGGGAGGTCATGATCCTGCCGAGAGAGTATTCGGAGTCGGGCCAAGGTAGTTGAAGAGGAAGAGCTGGAGCATCAATCATTCCTGCTGAGCGTGATCCTGCCCGTACTGGTACCGCAGCACCGTGCAGGATGCGGAGGTGTCGGTGTTCGCGTCGGGCCGCAGCTTGAAGCTGACCAATGAAGGGGCGAAGTGCTGGCTTGGAAAGGTGTGTCTCTGCCACATTCCAAAGGATGAGAGGGCCCGGGTGGCGTGCCTCCCCGATACGGTAGACCGGGAGGGTGATCTCAAAAGGTGATGGCCAGAGTGGTCGTAACCGGTATGCGCCCGACCCAAATTCGCGGGAGACCGCGCTGTGCAGCCGGGCAGAGCGCGCGCCGGATGACCAAGGCCCAAAATTGCCCAAAAGGGGAAGTCTCGGTTTGCAGGATGGAGCGATGAAGAAAAGAGTCGGTTCGTTGAACTGTCCGCCGTGTGGAGGACCAAGCGTCTCAATGCTGATCCACAGGATGGCCGTGGTGAGTGACCATCGGAGGCGTTGCCCGTAGAAATGCCGTGGTGGTGGGTCAAAGGCTTCAAGTGAAGGCTGCCCGGAGATGCAAGAACTGGTGGCTTGCCAAACGGAAGACAAAGTAAGTAGCCGTGAGCGGTCGAACGACTGGGAGGGTGAAGAGGCAATTGCACTCGTGCTAAAAACCATAATAAGAACCGTGCAAAACACTCGAGCAGAGATCCCGCAACTGGCCGGGTGTTGTATGCAAGGTCCCGAGGTGGAACCAGGATTGCAGGCCGAAAGATGGTTCTGGTGGTAGTACGGTGAGCTGTCATGGCTGTGGACGTGGTTGTGGCAAGGGAGTCTCCTGAAATGAGCAATCCCTGGCTGGTTGTGGATGAGGCTCAAGAGGTATCGAAAGGGGTGGCGCCAACTGTGAGAGGGCGCTCGGCGCGCGCCAGTACCCACTCAGAGCGTTGCTTTTTCTGTAGCAGCCCTTCCAAGTTGGAAAAGCTCGGGCCATGTCTTCCCGGAGCTGACTGCTTTGTGCTGCGACGTTGTTGCCGAGAGTGGTGATTTCCTGCTGTTGCTGTGTCACCTGAGTAGCAACCTCATGGATTTGCTGCTGTGTGTGCTGGTTGGCTCGTGCCGTCGGCTTCCAGTCTGGCGAGGCGCTGTTTTCCTGGCTGGTGGGAGAAATCCGAGGTGTTCATGTCCCATGGAGAGTGTGCGTGCTGATCCTCGAGTTCTTGCATTGTGTTCTTGATGTCAGTCCG